CCGGAATGGTAAAGTGCCGGAATGAAGAAAATAGCAGGCCTCCCTGCTAAATTTCATCCCTCTGGAATCCACTGGAATCTGCAGGAATTAGGGGGGCACTGATAAGACCTCAGATCAAGTGGCAATCAGCAGTGGGTCTTACTATAGTATCAGCTTTGTGTTTGAGGCAGTGGTGGTCAACTGTGAAGAGTGTGACTTTAGACTTGTCACAATATCATCATATTTGGACACTACTTAGACAAACATTTGACAACCACTTTTTATCTACCTGGGCTTGTAGGGCTCTGATATCCTGTCCCCAGTTTCAGTAGAGCATGAAAAATGTATTACTCTGCTACAATTTCATTACAAAAAGCAAGAGCAGAGTCATGGTTAGGTAACAAGTAGTGATTGTCATGGGTTTCCCAACCTGTGTGGGTAGGGGTATGGGTTGGACATATCTGACCCTTGCCGTACCAATACAGCACAGTTTGGCGGGTTACCTGCCACATTATTAGATAGTAATTAACCTGCCTTTTTCCAGAGCTGCCTGAGCAGTGTTTGCCAGCACCATCATCATCAAACAAATCTTTTCCTTCTCAACGACTGCCATCCACTGTGACCACTCACCTCACCTGTGTGACCACTGCCACCAACAACCACCACCTCCTGCAGCTATCGCTCCACCGCCCCCAACAACAACAATAACATAGCAATACCACATCACACCCCCACAAATGAAGACAAACACTACCAGGCAAAACTGACCACCACTATCCACCACAGCTCACGAACAATGGCCACAAATGGAAATAGATGATGACAAGCTGAGGTGAGCAGACTATGGTGAGTAACCCATCCCATGTTCATTCAACCAACCTCACTGAGACACAGAACACTGACGGAATGATGACATAGGACCCACTGGCCCATGGGAAGGGAATATCGTTGCTTCCACAATGTGGGGTGATGTGTGTGAATGCAACTGGTACTAGCTTAGAATGTGCCATGTATGTTCCTTTCATGCTTTTCCTAACTCATTTGAATTCTACCTAGTAACAACATGGCATTTTGTCTCCTCCCATGTAACTTGTGCGCAGATACATGTCCATGGGAGGACTTGAGTACAAGTAGGTGGATTGGGTGAGCTGTCTCAGTCTGTGCATGGCAGGTATGTTCCATCCCCCTCACCCATAAACTACCCCACGTGATACATAACCTCCAGGCTCAACATCAACCACCACAGCCTCATCCACAGGTACCTCCCCTCTAACAAGTGCTCCTGGCTCCAGCACCCCCACCTCTGGCCCTACACTTGCCTTCACACCGCCCCAGCCATCAACATCAATATCAATCACCAGCTTGCCCATGAATAGCACAGTTATGGTGATAGTGTCATGGCATGGATGGGTGGTGCGTGGTGCGTGTGCATGGATGGGTGATGTTCATTGAACATGGATGGGCGTGTGTGGTTGAACACGTACGGTGTTGGTCAAAACAGAATGGGTGTGGTTGACAACTGTGGATGGGCATTGTTGGTTAAACACAGATGGGTGTGATGGGTGTAAGTGGTCGGACGTGGATGGGTGTGGTTGAGGGTGGATGGGCATGGCACGCAGATGGGTCTGGATGGGCACATATGGGCATGGATAGGCACATATGGGGTATCTAGTGTAGATGCAGATGAGAGCTGTACTTGCACACAGTAGTAGTATAGTTCATTTCCTACAGCTAAATATGACTACATAATTGAGATGTGCCAAAACCGCCAGACCCGCCAAAACCACCAATTCTCATCTATTCATTCACATCCTTCTCAGGTCATACACAGCAGCCAACTTGAAAGATTGGCTTGACTCAGAAGACAAGAAGAAGTCGACGAAGAAACTAGCAGCCAAAAAGGGAAAGGCAACTAGGGAGGCAGTGCAGAAGGGGAATGCCAAGGAATCACAGGTGGCTTCAGGATCCAGATCAGGAAAGGGCAAGGAGAAGGAGAAGGCTAAAGAATCAGTTGGAGGGAAGAAGAGTCACAAGAAGGTGACCAAAGGGTAGGATAATTTGTTTTGTGTTCTTTTGATAAGTGTGCAGAAGTGTAGAAGTGTATATTCAGTGGAAGAAGAGTCACAAGAAGGTGACCAAAGGGTAGGATAATTTGTTTTGTGTTCTTTTGATAAGCATGCAGAAGTGTAGAAGTGTATATTCAGTATATCAGTGCAAAAGAAGTATGCAGAGGTGTGTATTGGTGTAAATGTATGTTGGATCTTTGATTGCAGTTCTATTCTGATCCCATTCCTGTGGATTCCAGTGGATTCCCGCAGGAATGGGTGGGGGACTGTAAAGTACTATCAGATGCTGAAGATGGGTGATACTGCAAGATTCTATTTTTACAATTTGATGCCAGTCAGCAGCCTTGAGCACTGATCTTTGACCTGAGGCTCCAGATCTTTGGCAACATTGGCACTGAGCAGCACCAGATGTTGATGCAAGAATGACAAGAACCTGCCACGACAGTGACTTGTCACTTGCTGGGAAGTTCCGAAATAATGGTGTGCTTGGGCGAAGAAGAAACAGAAATAGAAGGAGAAGAAGAAGAATGAGAGGGAGAATGAGATACAGAGGAAAGTAGTATGCCCCTGTACAGTACTTATAGTAGTGGCTTATGTAAGGTTCGATCACAATCACGCTGCAGCGCTCAACGGTTCAACACTCCTCCTCTAAGCGTAGATCAGGAGGACAAAGAAAAGAAGGAAAAAAGAAAGCAAAGAAAATAAAACGAGAGATGAATGGAGGATAGGATAGGATGATGGATAGAATAAATGTATGGGTAGAATCCGAGCGCCGGGTGCGTCAAAACCCAGTGGGAAAAAGCTACCGGCTGGCATGGTCGAAATGAAATCTACCTAAATGAAGGAGATTGAAATCGAGACGCCAACCAGAAAATTCTCCTCCTCGCACAAGCATCACTGGAGGCCTAGGGAGATATATAAGCCCCAGAATATATACAATATAGATATACACCCTGACATTTAGTCCCGTAGTATTCATGGAGTTTGCAAGACTAATAGTCAGTTGTCAGTGGGTGACTGAAGTGAAATTCACTTCGACTACATGACCAATGGCAATTTATATGACTACATCGACCTTGTCGTCAAGGCTTGTATCGCCCTAGAGATTCTAGAGGAGCAAGAGAAGGTTTGGATGGAGTTCATCCTAGGCCTTCACGAGGCGCTCGACAGTGTTCTTCAAGAATTCGGGTGCGGCAAAGAGTGGAAAGGGGCTGAATTGATAGTGAAAGATTTTAGGCCACTCACCTCCCTGGATGAGATGGCCGATTGGCGTGAAAGCGGCATCATGGGTACCAGATCTGCTGGGAAGTCAAGGATTCGTAGTTACAATTTTATCTTAGTTATCTAGTTTGCCCATGTAGTATTCTCATTTAGTATCAGACATGTTTGTGCAACCATCCAGAAATTTGGTATTGTATCAACTGTATAGTTGATGCCAAACAAGGTTTAGTTGTATGTAATACCACACAACATCGCCTCATCCTTCCAATTTCTCCAACCTTCTAGCATGGCTACCAGGGTTAAGCGTTCACTCAAACCCAAGGTCACTGTTATTGTTGCTCGAGACATCACTTTCAAGGTACCAAGCCAGAAGCTAAAGGACCCTGAGCCTGAGGTATGTTTAAAATAGACTTTTAAACCCTTGATATAATGATCGATCACTTCAGATCTCGATTTTCCATGACCTTGGCATATACCTCTCTCGCCGGAACAAGCGTGCCATTCAAGTGAAGCTCTTGAAGTTACTTTTTCCGAGCTTCTTTGAAGCATACACTCAGGGACAAACCCAGGCAGTTTTCAAGTGTGCATACCAGGTCTGGTTCCTGCGTTTTCCAGACCCCGAGCATCAGATTGTTGTGAAGGCAGACTACAGCGAAGACCCTGAGTACACAGACTTCATTTGCAAGCAACGTGAAAAGGTACACGCATTCATTGTTCTGGTCTAGATGTGCTGCTCACATACTATTTACTTAGTGGCTAAGGAGTCTGGTCTGCTGGCTGGCCTTCCGTTTCCCAGCGATGGTTGATGGTCCTGTACCAGCAAACCCAACTTGGGTGGTTCTGATGAACGTTGCTATTCAGGAGATCATGCGTACCTTGGAGGTACCTCAGGATCGCTCGGACTGTGAAGAGGCGCTCAAGGAGATTGAAAAGATGGTCCAGGACTCACTTGTGTGCACACGTGCAGCTGGTAACCCGGAAGTTGAAATATTTTGTGCACCACTGAAGGCCTTGTAGTTACATTCTTAGCTCCACCAAACTTTTGTCGTTGTTTTGTTAGTTTACTGACATCTTAGTCCATTTGCTTTGTAAATGCTTCCATATTAGCCAGATGACAAAGCATCCCTCCCAACCCTTCATTTTCTCATGAGAGGCAAACACAAGACACAGACGTTTGTTGTACTACGCGATGACTCTGATGATGAGATGCTCATTCCACATGCCCGTTCCTTCTATGAAGTCACGCCGGTTTCAGATGTTGCTGGAAAGGTTGCTGCAAAATGCTATCCAACCTCGGTACGTCTTTTTTCTCATGAGTTACAACAACTTACACTAGACTTACAGGATGCACCACTCCTTGATTGGGCTGGTCAGCTGCAGGGGTTCATGTCCTGCACCTCTGCTGATGGGCTTTATCGTTGTGAGGATTGCTTAGGGGGTACTCGAGTGTCGTATCTGTTGCCTTCAGTGGCACCATTACCTGCCACTTCACATCATCCAGGTACAACTTGCACTTTTGTTGGATGATCTAGTGCTGACCTACGTAGGTCTGTAGAAGCTAATTCCCAGAGTTTTTCTGGAAGTAAACAAGTATCTACAACATTGGTCCTTCTTTTCTGCAAGAAGAAAAAATGCTACCATCCTTTTGAATTAATATATGGAGACTCAGGATGTCTTTTAAACAATGCCTGAAGTATAGCATGATAGCAAATAAATTGACATTGGGTATAACTTGAAAAGTCCCCAATAAAAGTCCATTTTGCATAGAGCAATCATCCTGGACCAATCCTTGACATTTTTCTTGCTGAATTGGGGCTGAAAATATTTCACAAGGCACTTCTCATGCCTAGTAACACTATCCCAAAAAAATAAACAGAGGTCCTATTTATACAAGGATCTGATACCCCACACCTTTCTTGCTCTATGCAAAATGTACTTTTATTGAGAACTTTTCAAGTTATACCCAATGTAAATTTATTTGCTATCATGCTATACTTCAGGCATTGTTTAAAAGACATCCTGAGTCTCCATATATCAATTCAAAAGGATGGTAGCATTTTTTCTTCTTGCAGAAAAGAAGGACCAATGTTGTAGATACTTGTTTACTTCCAGAAAAACTCTGGGAATTAGCTTCTACAGACATCATGCAATGTTCATTTTAACATTTCTACCTACCTTTTGTATTATACACACTACAAACAACAATAGGGAGTCATTTTACCTCATTCCAACAAATATATTAAGTGAAAAATACATAAAATGGAGAATAAGTTCAAATTTACCTTTAAAAGGAGGATATAAAATTTTCTAGCCCAGAGACTTTATGAAACTCATAACAATAGCACGGAGATCCAGTGTTCAAAATATCTCTTCCTCAAGTTGTGAATTGTTTTCAGTAGGTTGCAGTCATTCAGAATTTCCCACTTTGTTACATCCCATTTTTGGCACTTGTCACAGTGAATTCACTGCCTTATCCTGAGTTTTCAATTGTTCATCCCCAGACTTGGTATATGGAATCTACACCTCCTTAGCTATATTTGATACACTAGAGCTTAGTTCTCAAAATGTTTGATTCTTGTGTTATAGCACCAACTTTGTCCAAAAATGATCAGACAATCTTTTTGCCCAGTTAGTGTAGGTAGCACCATGTATTTACCAGGCTGGGAGTAAAAGTCAGAAGAATTTCGATCTACAGCTGAGTTTCCAGCACTTTCAGTTGCTTTAATGTGACCCTCTGCACCTATTCCCATTACCTGTATCCACACAATCCTTTGATTTCTATGAAATTTTCATTCTGAAGATATCCATATAAATTTCTTAGCCATTGGATGATTTTTGTGAACACAGTATAGTTTATATCAGACGAAATACACTCTATTTAAGGACTCTCACAACAAATCCTTCATTATCAAAGTGAATACAGCCCTCAATAATTTCATACTGGTGTGGAAGAACGGATGTTCAACTCAGGAAACGGTGATTGGTCGTCTACCTCAGAAGATAGGGTGAAGGATTGTGGGAAGAGGGGATCAACGAAACAACGGAAGGGAAGACACTCAGCAGCAAGGAACCGTGTGAGTACGTTTAAACGCGCGCGTCGTTTAGTCTTCCTGTAAGCGGTGGCGTGAGAGCGTATGGCAAGTAAAAGAGAATCTTGAAGTCTTTTGAGGTTGTCGTTCTTGAGTACTACCTCAGATAAAAAGGCGAAGGGCCAAGAGAGAGAGAGAGTAAGCTAAGGCAAGACGGAGCAGAACACGTAGTGGTGAAAGATCGTGTGAGAGTGTGTTAAGCGCTTGCGTCGACCAAACTGATGGTGGCGTCGAGTGGCATGAGAGCGTACGTCGAGGAAAGTAACTGAGAGTCGTCTAAGTCGTCGTTCTTGAAAATACTTAATAATCTTCAATTCTTATGAGTGAGGAAAAACTTGGAGGGGAAAGAATCAATCTCCATTCGCAAGGTGGGAGGGCACCTTAAGTACAAAAATCATAATCACAAGGCATCTACACGTTCTCGCGTGCTGCCTGTCCAGAAAAGTTCTAAAGAAAATAAGAAGACAAACAAACAAAAGTAAAAATAGCTTTTGACGCATCCTATCAAGTTCCTCCGCCGAACCGTCATACTGGGGATTTCTCGGGGAGCTAATCGACAGTGTGAGAGGCCTATTTGCTAACGCGACTGCCCCGCTCAGTGCGGGCTTCACAACTGTCGACACTTCGACCCTACCGTCCAGTCCTAAAGCTCGGTTTTGGTACACTCTGCACTTCCACACTGGTATCCACCTTTAGCTGAGACTATGTGAATTTGATTGCCTGAGTATTAGGCAAGCAGAGAAAGGTTTGCCAACACAATTGTATGTTTTAAAACCCTCCTGAAAATTGTAAAATGGGAACAAGACTTTCAGGTGTGCCATTTCACTCAAAACTTAACAATGCCTGTCCTAATATTGTTTCACTTAGGATATAGTTGTTAGTAGGGTATAGCTGGCAGGTTTTAAATTACAAATTCCTGGACTGATATATTTTTTATCTTAAAAAACAGAGATACTCCTTTCTCTGCAACCTTCTTCTGATGAAAGTTTAAGGTAAAAGTTGTAAATTAATCATGTTAAGATGTATTACCATTGTCAGAGTAATGTTGCCTTCTTCTCCTTGCTCAATGTCAGTTGTATTTCCAGTGTTTTCAATGTGTTTGGGATGTTTGCATCTATTTGTCTAAAGCTTCAAACATGTCATTCAAGTTCACAATGTTGCATCCATCTACTTGCGAGGGTGCCATGAATGTGAAACATGAAAAATCGGGCTGTAGTCTACTTGTAGAGTACCAGAATGTCTATGTTTCATTAAATTTAGGTGTAAAGAATGAATAGCATGACTTTTGAGGATCTGGCCACAGAGAGGCAACTATTTGCGACCATTTGGCAATGCCTTTGGCAACATCATCCAGCTGGAACCTGAGCCATCCATCCAAATGCTGCTCAATTAAAATACCAAAAGTCATTTTATATGTCAAAAACAAGTTGCAACTGAGGAAATATGAACTTGATACAATCAATAATATGAATGACACCCTCCAAAATGCATTTCCATGATTTTCCGCTCAAAAGCTTGCTTTGTTGACAATTGTTTGTTACCTGGAAAAGGTCATCCAGATAGTGTTCGCAAGTTCAGTTCAGGCCGGTTTTTTGCCCCCAAAACGCGCAACTGTGGACCGCAACCGGTCTACGACCGACCCAGCTATTGAGGGAACCGAACCGAACCACCTTGGACCGGTCTATTTCGGTCTATGGAGCCGGTTCAGACCGATCCAGACCGGTTTTTTTGCATATAATTTATTATACCAATATAAACCATTTGTATCTTGACTATTATTACTCTGAAAAATAAACATGTTATATGAAATAGTAAAGCATGTAAATACCCGTCATTCTACCAATTTTGAAGAGATTTAATGAAGATTTGACATAGCTATGACTGAAACCGAATTACATCTCGTAGAGACTCGGGTAAAATATGGATTTGGTTATATCTTTCTCAATTCTTAACCGTTTTTGATGAAACAAAAACCCAATAAAAGGTAATAAACGTGGTTACAAGGGTATGTAACGCACGTGACCGTTTAACCGGTTGCAACCGATCAAAACCGGTCTTTGAACGGTTTTAATATATTTTCGAAATGAGGCAACCAGCAACCGGACCAACCCCAAATTGGGGCAACTGCAACTGAAAAAGTGACCGGACCATGGTCCGGTTCAGTTCGGTCCACCGGTTTTTTGCGGTCCTATGGACTGAACCTTTAAACACTACATCCAGAATATGACTTGTGCATCCATCATCTCCACATTTCTACATCACTTGGTAGCTCTGAGTAGCTGTAACACTAAATTTGAAGCAGAAAAATGAGAATTATCACAACTGAAATATTCTGGTGAAATGCAGTTTTTCAGAGGGATTTTGACATGGAAAAAATATATGAGGAAGCTCTTTTGGCAAGAGAAACATACACAGGATACATGAAAACATACCAGTCATCAATACTGATCCAGGATGTACCATTTCTAAGAATTTATATCATAAAACATATCTGAGCTATATTTAGATTTGGTATATATCACAAACATGCTGGATCCAAAAATAGAAGCTATTTTTGATTTTTCTATCTTATCTGATGGCAGATACTGATATTTCACCCAAAAAAACCAAAATTTCACCCCCTGCGGTGTTTTTTTTAAAGTGAGTGGAATGCAAGCAAAAATAGGCAAAGGACATTGCACATCAGTTGGCAAATGGTATACAAGGCAATTGCACACCTTGTAGGGCTAGAACTACATCTAGTGTTGCCGCGGCTCGGCTAGCCGCAAGCCGGCTCGCTGAACCGGCGGCTTTTGCCGGTTCCGGTTTGTGGATCACTCGAAAGCTGATCAAGTCCAGTTCGGCTCAGCTTAGTCGGTGGCTTTGAACCGGTTATAGCCGGTAAATGATTGCCGCAATTGATGACTCGTGCGTTAAGTAGAATGAGGTTAAATTTGTAATAGAATTTGAGACAAATGCATTTTGTGATAAGTAAAATATATTGAACAAGCTATCAATCCTCGTCATCCTGTCCAATAACGTGAATTACCTCATCAATATCTATACCATCCTCCGTAATTTCTGAAGTTAGCTTCCCTAACAAATCCACTGAATCTTTGTTGTCATCTGCGTAGTACTCGAGTTCGTCTTCTGTGACAGCCCATCCCTCCGTAAAGTTTAGCCGTTGCTGCTTGAGCGAAAACTTTAACATTTGAAGCGCCTCCATTAGAACAGGGTGGATTCGATTTCGCCGCTTTGTATCAGTTTCGGCACTGGATGAAAAAACGCGCTCGGAAGGAACCGAGGATGCTTGAATGGGCAAATAATCTAATGCCATCGTGTACAATGTTGGATGAGTTTTATCACTTATCTACAAAAAAATCAGTGGGGCAAATTAGAAAATAGTGAGAGACTATACTTACCGCCCAAAACCCTACAATATCTGTGCCACGCGGTGAGAGCAGCCCATTTTCGTACAACTCAAATTGTTCTTCAACCCCTTGGACCTGCTGCGAAGAAGCACCTGTAACGTCCATCATATCTTCGAGCCCGTATTGTCCAGCTAAATCATGCCAGCTTCGCCTCTCTTGCTGCGAGGCTGCTGTACCAGGTGTAGGTTGTTGAACTTGTCCATGAAGACGGTCATGGTATTTTCGCATCTGGAACAAGTATATTAGGTTACTGTCACCGTAACAAACTGAGACACTTACGGTATTTTTTATAATTACGGTGGCCCTGGCAACGTAATTAGGCTCCCAGTGTTGTCGAATCCATGACAATCATATTGAGGGATTGAGAACTGATGATGTCAAGTTATTGAATGATCTATGAATTTGAACCTTAACTCACACATCGCAATAACGTAGGCAGGCGAATCATCCATTTTCTTGTAGTAAGTTGTTGCCCAGTCGATACCGATATCTGTCCATTGGGCCAAGTGGGGGTGTGCTGTCCCAAGTTGCTCCCATGCCGTCATGAACATTTCGAACGCAGGAATTGCGCCTGATAAAACAGGAGTGCGCTCTTTCGACATGATTTTCAGGTCCAAACAAGGACAAGGAAAAGGCCTAAAAATGAGAACTTTTCTCATTCCCAACAGATTAATTGTCAAAAACTCATCGGAAACCCAGCCCTGGGACAATCTGCATTTTGGCAGCATTTGTGTCCCAGAAGTCTGTTTTTGTCCTCTGTGACTTTTGTGGCTTTGCTCACATGCATGTCGAGAGCAGGAACAGGCTCTGGACCCAGGAGGACTTCAAAGTTGGAACTGAGGTATGAATAGTTTCAATCTTGTCACTAAACATACAATCATTGAAATTTCCTGTTCAAGTGGTGGAGAAACAGTGTGATAAAAGAACATGATCAGTACTGGATGAGCTGGAGGACATAGACCAGTATAAAAAATCTTCTCATGTGAATTGAACACTTAATATATTTCAAGATGGAGGTGATCCCAGCACCAACACACCCCTGAAGCTCACCAGATCCAGAATTTGGCAGAAGTGGACTCAGATCTCAACACTACACTCTGCGAGGTCTGTGTCCCATGATCAGGGAGATCTATGTCAACTCAGGTGCAGCCTTCACCAGACTGGGGTGCCATCTCGCAAATGATGTCTGCTATTACCTCACTATACATCCTTTCATATTTGTGAAGACAAGACAAAGTTTTCTGATCTTTTGACAGGTATTCCAGGGTACCTTGACTGGTTTGTCCAATGTGAATACTAAAAGCCAATGGCAGCAAGCTGTGGCCTGGACCAGGAAAACCCATTTGAGTTCAATGAGAACTCCAATCAAAAGTACATGCAATCTTTTGTTGACATCTTCATGTGTTCCAGTGTGGAGGTTCCTAAAGAACTATACCTCAAGTTTTAAGGGAGAGCCTTCTAGATCAAAGACACGCCATTGGTGAGCTGTTCCTTCTAATGCCATGTCAAAAGTTAATTGTTTCACTTCTATACAGGCCAATCTTATGATTCAGGAGGTCTGAAGAAATTCTTGAGAAGTGGCTTCATGTGGCCTGATACACCCTCACAATATCAGTAAGATATCTCAGCAACTCATAATTTATCTCTCACAAAATGCTTTCTGCAGACGAGAGCCCAACAAATCAGATTTTGGAACCAACTGTCGATCACAATGGTGGTCATCCTGCTAAGGTACATTGATCTTGGTTTCTACAACATATGGTATATTTATAGTATTTACCCCTTCTTGAATTTTTTTTTCTAGAGGCATCAAAATGGACCTGGGAGGCATAGGAATTATAAACCTACCTATAAAAGCAATAAGAACTCTGTGCCTCAGATCAAGACATGGGTCATTGTATCTGATGAGTGATGGTGACGATGATGATTATTATAACATTTTTGTCATGGTTGGTGTCTGCTGTCGTCGTGGGTTGCCAGTGAAGGTGGTGGGCGGTGATGGCGGTGGTTGTGGCTGGTGGTGGCCGTTGGCGAGGGTGGTGACATGGCGTGCCTGACGATGATGGTGGTGGTTAGAAGACAAATGTTGTGGATTGTTTGATGATGCCAAATCGAGTGTCGGCATATTAATGTTTATTAATATTATTGATTACTAATGTGAATTCCAGTCATTGAATTCCGGTTGCATTCCTTTTTGTCCATTCCGGCTACTAATCAGGAATGACATCATTCCTGAGGAATATTTGTCCCCTGGAATGTCATTTTGGCTGGTGTTTCTGCCAAATTTGATTCCTCTGGATTCCGCTGGATTCCACAGGAATGACCGGAATCCAGCAGGAATCAGTGGGGCATGATAAAGACCTCATTCCAAGGTGCTATTTCTTTTCTCTTCTCATAACCACATGTTCTGACAGGTTGAAAGGAGGATGTCATGTGGGAGGCCAAACAGGTGGTGATGGAGGTGTCACCTTATTTGAAATTTAACCACTACAAGACAGCCTTCAAATGGTCCAAAGGTGTACTGAACTATCACTCAGCAAAAGCTATCTTGGACAAGGGTGAAGCCCTCATGGATGCAAATATCGCACCCTTCCTCCAACAGACTCAAATTCATATAAATAAGGTAACTGCCTACACCTCCCTGTGTATAAGTCCATAGTCTTCATGATAGGAATCATTCCAGTTACCATGCCTTTTCATTAGAGAATTTTCATGAGGTACCTGGGTAATATCATTGTGATGTTCATTAGTTATCTGGCCAATATCATTGTGATTTTAATTAGATACCTGGGCTACATTATTGAAAATTTCATTAGCTACTTGGCCAATATCATTGCAATTTTCATTAGTTATGCCTGGTGCTTTCAATGGATATTTCATTCTTTGTCCCAGGATATTTTATTGCAAAAATTAAATTAAATTATAAATTAATAGAAATGATGGATGGGATGTCAGGTATTGTTTGTAGGGTCCACTGAGTACACCCAGTAAAGAAAGTATCATTGGTGATAACCAAAAGGTTCAAGAAATCAAGATAAGAATGATGATACATGTCAAGGTCCATCTGATGTGATGTTGGGGAGGGTGGTGACATGATCCATGTCCCAAAATGGTCAAAATAAAAAGTTGTAGCTCTGCACTGTAGCTTTCAGAATCTATTTGAATTATGTTCTAAAGTGCTTCTGCTGTGAAGATATGAGGTAAAGGGTTTTTCTCACTGCTGGCTTTTTTCAACCTTTTTGCATTTTTACCCATGAAAACAACACCAAACAACATGATTTCAACACATCTGGAAAGCTAAGAGAAGAGGCTACAATTATTGTATTGTGGGAAAATTCAACCAAAAAGGAAAGTACACACCCTCAAATGGAAATTGACACTGACAGGCTACAAAAGATTGCAGACAGACTACAAAAGTCAGCTGTGGACTAGAAAGTTTAGTGATAAACCACAAAAGACTACAAAAACTTGGGCTAAGACTACAAAAGTTGGACATAAACTACAAAAGACTACAAAAGTCAGACTTCAACTACAAAGTTTATATTGATAGACTACAAAAGGCTTACAAATGTTGGCCAGGCCATAGAGAATCTAAGTGTATTCTACTACATTGAGTGTTAAAGAGAGGGGGGAGGGAGTGGTGGAGAGTGATGGAGGGGGGGGCATGATGGAGAGGAGAGTGATGGAGGGGGTATGGAGTGGTAGGGAGAGTGTGTGGTGGAGAGAGGGTGGTGGAGAGAGGGTGGTGGAGAGAGGGTGGTGGAGAGAGGGTGGTGGAGAGAGGGTGGTGGAGAGAGAGTGGTGGAGAGAGATGGACAGGAGGGAGTGTGATGGAGGGGGAGGGAGTGCATGATCCTATTGCTCAGCATTTGACACGTAATTATAGGTAGCACAATGAAATCAATTGCATATTGAAAAATCAGTACACTGTCTCTAACATAGGCCTTGCCTTTGAGTGAAATTTGGTGGATATTCTAATTTTGTGGTAAGGTGGTCATTATGTTTACAGTGGAGCTGGCACCATGTCTGAACCAGCTGATGGCCAGCTGGACCTGGGAAATTCCCTGCCCCTTTGACATTTATACCATGTCTCTATCCCAAATCGATATTCCCCCCTGTGCTCCCCCCGAGTGATGAAAGTGTCAGGCGTGTTCACGACATACATTTTCCAGTCACTGACTTCTATGTCCTGCCCACAGCATCCTATAGCTATTGACCCACCTCTCTTGGGCAATGCGAATGACAAGGAACCAGCAACAAAGGGACATTTTGTGATGTGTGTTCTGCTCATCATACCACAGCGACACTGGAAGAGGGCTTTTAGGAAGATCAAGGGTTTCGGAAGGAGGCTCTTCGCTGCCTTATCTTAATGGACCTTACTTTCGCTAAATTGTTTCCTTAAATACCAATGTAGAATCAGTTGTTGGCTTAGAGTCTTTTCAGAGAATCAGTATTGGTATGCATCTTATAGAATTCTTACAGTGGTGCCTGTGGGCTCAACGACGCCAGGGAGCATTTAGTACAGCATGCATTTTGGATGAAGAACGCAAGGATGAACCGCCCATTGATTTCGGCTGCATTTTCAAGGCAATGACATTCAGCATGTTAAATACAAATCTGGACATTTTTTCAGCTGCATTTTCAGGTACTTGAAGTACTAAATTTCAGACATTGGAGCATTCCATGGGGGCTGTCTGGCCCCTGTCAAAACTACATCCAAAATTTCGGACATTGGTGCAGTCTACAGGGATCATTATATCTGGATGGAAGTAACCTAAAGAATTTCGGACTTCAGAGCAGTCCTCAGGGGGGTTATCTGGTCCATGTCAAAATTACATCCGAAATTTCAGACATTGGTGCACTAATACAAATCCGGATGTTTTTTTGGCCACATTTTCGGAGCAGGGACGTTCACCAAGTTAATCACAAATCTGGACAATTTTTTGGCCACATTTTCGGGGCAATGACATTCAGCATGTTAAATACAAATCCAGATGTTCACGTCCAGGGAGCTCTAGCAGGTGGCCCACAGGTGTAACAAACAAACAGGCTTAACAAATGGCATGGCCTGTGGATCCAACGGAGCAACAAGTCGTCCACTGCGGGTGTAACACAATTGTTCATCCACAGGTGTGATGGAACAATTGTTAGTCTGTGGGTGTGACAGACCAATTGTTAGTCTGCAGGTGTGATGGAACAATTCTTGGTCTGCGGGTGTGATGGGACAGAGTTTTTGGTCTGTGAATGAGCTGAGCAACAGGTGGTCCATGGGTCTAACAAAAGCATCAAAGCCTCATTCACAAGGGAAAGCCTCTGTTAGTGCTAGAGAAGACCTTGTGTGTCATTCAGGTCAAGATTTTTGCCGCCTGGACCACCTTTTCAAATAACTGCAAAACAAGGAATCAAGAAGTAGATTTGAGTAGATATTCTGCACAATGTTTCTTTTTTCTCATTTGTTGTGCTTTTTCATTAGCGGTCCATTGGAGTGATTGCCACCATGGTCACCAACTCAAGGAGGGTAGTTATTACCATGTCCTTCACAATGCTCACAGTGCCTTTCAAAGCTCAATATTGATTTTATGGAATCAATCAAGAAAGATCTCCTCAATAACTTCCCAGACCCTAAGCTCAATTCCCTCCTGAATTATTCAAGGACTTGCTAGTCGACACCCCAGGGCTTGTCAAAGACTCTCAAGTAGCTTGGAAGACACTTCCAGGTGAATCTGGGATGAGTTATCTCTGAACTGCAATACTTCTGTGACTCACTCATCTGCAAAGGGGCTGTTTTAGCATGCCTTTTCCCTCCAACTCATTCGCCAAGTTCCAATACTTATCACTCCCCCACATATTTCTACTGAATTCCAACAAAATTTCCAAAAAGGCATTTTCACATTTCCCTTCCCACTGGACTCCTACAGCACTCCTACTGAACTCCAATTGAACTTTAAAAAAAATGCAATGCTTTGGACATTGGATTCCTACTGGAGTACCAATTACTGACTTTCATCAATTTGTGATTAAGTGAGACCTTCTGCCAACTCAAAAATTCATACAAAATTCATATTAGAACAGATATTGTAGAGGGGGGAGAGGGGGGGGGGGGGGGGGGGGGGGGGTGAATGAAAAAAGGGGGGGGGGGAATTTATGGAAAATGGGGGGAGGGAGGGAGGAGGGGAGGGAAAAGGAAAAGAAT